TGGTAAGATCCACCATACATGCACAATCCCTTCCTGCCCTCTCCCACCTGTCTCCCCCTTCCTTCCCCCCCACTTTAGTTGTTTTTAAATATAATTTAGGAATACTCAAGCTGCTTTGTGGCACTTGGGGCTTTGAAACACAATGATCACCACTGCGACCTATGGCCTGTAGCAGACACACTGTCACTGTAGTGTGGAGCCGATGGGTTGTTGGCAGGGCGGGGAGGGGGGGGTTAGTCTTTGTTTTGTTTGTTTTTATCCTTTCTATTTAACACTTTACTTTTCCTCCCTATTTTTTTCCTAATTTATTTACCCCTCTTACTGTCTGTCTCTTTTTTTTAATTAAAGAGCAAAACTTTTTATTACTTTGTAATTTAAAAAAACAAAAAAAAACCTGAAGAACTTTGGGGGGGATTTTGTACTTTTTTCCTGTGTAAATATTGGACTTTTTTGAGCTTTATTGTGGTTGTTAATTTGAAGTAATAAAGTAGAAAATGATAAAGTGATGCCAGCATCTGTCATTTCTTCCTTCCCTGGCATCGGTGCTGGGAGTGACATCTTACATGCAGGAAGCACTGTCTTGTGGTTGAACTTGTTCCTGAGTTCCAGGAACGGGTTTGATCAGAATTACTGGAAAGAAAAGGCACAGGGCTGGAGCGCCTAAAAATAAGTCTGAGCTGATCTCCGCAGTTGCAGCCTTGGAACAGTGAGAGCTATGTGAAATCCGATTCAGGATCGCGGTTCCTGGATTTGCGCCTCCCGTGTCCCATGTGCCTGGCCTTCAGGAGGAGAGGGAGCGGACTTTTCCACGCCGTTGGCTTTGGGTGTGCACTGAATTCGACAGAGGTGGACCCTGTTTTCTGTGTTTTCTTGGTTTCTCAGGATCGTGGTTCCTGGATTTGCGCTTCCCATGTGCCTGGCCTTCAGGAGGAGAGGGAGCGGACTTTTCCACGCCGTTGGCTTTGGGTGTGCACTGAATTCGACAGAGGTGGACCCTGTTTTCTGTGTTTTCTTGGTTTCTTCTATCCTCAAACTTCTAAATCGCGGAGGAAGGGGAAGGAGAGGGGTCGGAGCAGCAGCCCTGAGCACCTGACAGCAGCGCTGTGCCTGATGCAAACGCGCTGAACTCCCTGTAGTTGTTTGGGTTTCTCCTGCTTTGGTTGCCTGACCTGTCTGGCAGTAAATTACTAAATTTTAATACTGATTTACTTCTAAATCGCTGGTCCTATAGTTACGCTTCCCTGCGTTATCCAGACAAGAGGCCTGTTTCTTGCAGGCTGTGTAAAACTCTTGAAATTGATTTTCAGAAAACACCTACTGGGAATAAATGATGGATTTTGGTGACTTTGCAAATTCCTTCCAAGCCTGTTCTCTGCCAGCTGAGCAGGAAAATCTACTCCTTCGTTTGCCTGCTGTGTGGGGCTTCCAGCCCCTCGGGTGAGAGGAGTAGGAGGGAAGGAAAGAGGAGGGTAGTTCAGGGGTGTGGGGTATTGTCCTCTTGTCTCTGCCCTGCCTCCATTTTGAGTGTGGTTTTGAGGGATCAGAATGAAACTGCATTTTTTTTTTCACTTTTAAATCTTGAGAGATAACAGAGGAGCAGCTCCATGGGTACATGTGTGTTTCAAAAGAAGAGGGCGAGTGCCCCTCTAAAGAAGCGGGAGAAAGTCTGATCAAGCATGTCTCTCCCCTCCTCCTGTGAGCCCAGTCCTCTCTGCAAGCAAACGTATTAAGGCTTTTGGGGCTTGGTTTGGGGCTTTTTTTTTGCCTTTTTTTTTTTTTTTTAGATTGAAAATCACTTGTTTGGGCTTGATTAGTGGTACATCTTTGGTTTCCAACGCCTACACGTATGTTTTTCCTCTGAATGTTGGGGAAAACGGCTCTGAGGTAGAGATCTACCTGAGGGGATCTTCCTGAGGGCAGTGCTGCCCTTAACCGGCCTGGGGGCTGGGGGGGGGGAA